CGCGCCCGCAGCTCCCGGGGCCGCTTCCCTGGAGATCAAGCCAGGTGCAAGCCAGCTGCGCCACGGGCCGCGCTCCCAGCATGCCCCGGTGCGGCCCTTGCTCCTGCCCGGGCCGGTGCGGGCAGCGTATTGTATCTCGTCTCTCGCCTTTCCCTTTGGAGCCGCCTTGCAGGGCCGTCCTGCTCGGGATGGCACCTTGCAAGTATTTGACTCGGGGCTGCAAAACTCCTGCCGCTGGAGATGCCCCTGACCCCAACTCCCATCATCCCTGGCCATGCTCTGCCCAGCCCTTCCTGGGCAATGCTCCCCTGCTGGAGAAAGGAGGGCTTCGGAGTCCTGCAGCTTGTGATCGGCCCACGCGCCCGGGGCAGAGCACTTGCTCCGGCTGCGAGCAGCCCTGGGTCCCCCCCAGGCAGCCCTTTCGGGCAGAGCCCAGCTGGAGAGCCTGGAGCGGCCAGCCAGGCAGGGAGAGCTGCTGCAGCTGCCAGCCAGAGTGCCAGCAACCCTGCGGGGCACACGGACCAGCCGTCCGCATTCCTGTGGACAATCCGGTTAGGCCCTTCAGACCCGCTGGCCTTCAGCTCTCAGAAGCCCCCAGTGAGCCCGCCCAATAGCTGGGGGTGATGGGAACTGAGGTCTCTGCCGGCTGTGGGGCACCGGAGCGCGAGATCGCCCTGAGGACTCTGTGGAGGAAGGGACCCGGCACCACGCAGACAGCCGTGCTTTGCTATTTCACCCGGCCAGCCGGGCATTGCAGCCTCTCTCACACCGCGAAGGCTCCTGGATTTATCCTGCAGGATGCACGGCTGTCCAAAGCTCTGCTGGAAAGCGCAGAGGGATGAGCCAAAGCAGCCACACCCAGCACTGCCCCTCCAGAGAGAGCTGCCCCAGGCGGCAGGGCTGCCGAGGGGAGCTGCCGCCCAGCCCACGGGAGAAGCCAGGCCTGGCCCAGCTCCGCCCCGGGCCACTTCTCCCGGAGGCTCAGTGGGAACGTGGCCTTCCTGCCATGCTTCGCACGAGGCGCCAGCCCTGGCCAGGCCGTGTCTCTTTCAGCTTCGGTCCCGCTCGCTTCTCCTCCTCGGGCCTGAGCAAGAGGAAGCCCAGATTAGAGGAGGATTTGGCGAGCTTACAGCGCAGGCCCAATAAGCCGGCCTCGGACGCAGGTTCCTAGCAGGTCGGGATGGACAGATTTGGCTCAGCGGCTGCCCCGAGCGCTCGGTGTTAATCGGACTGTCGGTTCCCACGGAGGGAGGGGAGCAGTCGCTAGCCTCCGGTGCCCCAGGTCCTGCTTGAGGCTGGGGCTTTGCCGCTGATCCTTGGGAGGAGAAAGGCTATTTTTAACAGGAGCTCCTGTAATCGGCACTGCGCCCGACCTCCCGAGGACGTCTCTGCTAGGAAAGAGGCTGTGATCGGCTCCCCTGCGGCCTCAGCGGTGCGAGGCCCGGAGAGGGTGCTGGTGGCCGGCACTCTTGGCTCCGGATGCCGCACGCAGCAACTCTGCAGCAGCGACTGCGAGAGGGGCGAGGCTCCCAGGAGTGGGGCGAGGGGCACGCAGAGGGAGGTCTCAGGCTCTGCCCCACCTCGGGCCAGATTTATTCAGGTCAATTACAGGGAGGGACACAGCCGGCCAAGGTGAATCTCTCCACACCTTCCCCACCCACTGTGGAACTTTCTTGCCGTCGCCCCGCTCTCCTCATTTTCAGCCATGCAAACCGCCTTTCCCGGGCCGGGGTAGTCCGTAGATTCCCATCATTCCCAGGCAGTAGGGCCAATCCTGGAAACCCAGGACCAACCCCCCCTCCACCCAGCCCGGAGGTGGAGGGAACAGCCTTCCCCGCTGAACTTCCTCTCCGGTCAGGCTGGAGCCGGTTTGTCCGGCTGGGCCGTCTTCATAGATCCCACCTGGGACTTGCACGCAGCAGAGCTGGCTGGGCTCCTGGGAAGGACCAGCCCGTGTGGTGCACCTGCTCTTGCACTCCCTCACGCCTGCTCGGCCCGTGCGGTGCCGCAAGACGGAGCCACGGCGAGCGGAAGTCCAAAGCTGCTCTCACCAGGCCTTGGGCAAACGCTCCCCTTCCACTGCAGCCTTCCCTGCGGCAAGGCCAGCCCACCGCGCAGCACTGCCGTGAGCATCCCGAGACCGGGTGTGCAAGGCCCTCTCGCCACTCAGAAGCACCACACGGATGCCAAGTATTTATTGTTGCAAGAGCCGAGGCATACAAAGGCACCGCCAGTCTTCGCCGCCGCTCTCTCTGCTCCCCAGGAAGCGGGCCATATCCTGTCGGCTGCCACCCATTCATACTGAGGGCGGCCGGCTCGGTCCGTGCCAGCTGGCACCGTGGAGGTTAATCCCAGACTGCGAGCAGAACTTCAGGCAGCTACCTCCAAGGTCAAAACCAGCGTCCGCAGCCCGATAAGGCCGGAGGAAGGGAGCGAGCACAAGGGCACGGTGGGAACAGGGTGGCCGTGGAAGCTGGCCACGTTCCCAGGAATGCCTGGGCCGCTCTTTCCACGCATCCGGAAGCAGGGAAGTGGAGCTTCTCCGAGCATTTTGCAGCCAGGAAGGCCGCGAAGGTAGCTCTTCGGTTTCTGTGTTCACAGAGGAGCCCAAACTGTTCTCTTTATGTGCCGAATTTCTTCTGGTAGACGGGCGGGGGCAGCTGGGCTTTGATGTCTGCCACAGGCCGCTCGACCACCACCAGGGAATTCTCATCCAAGAGGTCCACAAAGAGCAGGGGCTGCCCGGGAGGAGCGAACCAGAAGCAGAGTTAACGTAAGCGGGGGGGGGGGGGAGGCAGCAGCCGCCAATCCCAGGCTGTTCCCCACGAGGGGGCCCATCCCGGCCTGCCCCATGCCAGCGGAGGGAGGCGGTAGCTTGGCCGGGGGCAACACTCTGCTCCGGCCAGGTCCGAAAGACCAGCGGCCCCCGAGGTGCCAGGGCGCCTTCCACGCAAGGCCCCGGTGCGAGGCAGCTCACAGCCAGCCCTGGGTGCACCCGCAGCGCCTGCGAGGACGCACGAGGCCAGACGGAGGCGCTTGACCCCGACCTCCGTCTCAGGCAGACCCTGGGGGGCATGACGATCACGCCTGCCCCTGCTGCAGCAGCTCCTGTCCCCAACAGCGGGTGGCCAGGGGCAGATCTGTCCCCCTGGGGTTGCTGCGCCTGCCCAGACGAGGCTCCGCTGCCCTTCCAAACTGCCGCGCCACCGCCGCGAGGGCCTCAAACCCAGCCCACCCCTCTGCCTTTGGCCGCTCCCACGGCGGCCCCCCCGCTGCGAGAGGCTCCGCAGCCCAGCACATGCTCCAGATCAGCGCCCTCCCCCGGCCCCCCCCGCCCGAAGGGAGCTGCGCGGCCCCCCACCGACCTGGTACTTCTTGCAGATCTTGAAGGCGTGGCTGTGGCCTCGTCGGGCCGCCTTGGAGAGCTGCGCCAGGGAGAGCTGGTTGTGCAGGGAGGCCCCGTCCTCCGGCAAGGGCTGGGGAGGCGAGACGAGACGAGCGGGGGCTTTGTGGGGTGACTCCTGGGAGCACCCGCATGCCTGGGCAGAGCGTGGCTCCCACAACCCGGGGATGGAAGGAAGGAACACAGAGCCCAAGGCGCCTGAAGGCCGGCACCCTCCCTGCCTGCTTCCCACCCCCAGGGGGCATTTCTGCCTTTCTAATTGGGCAAAAGTGGCACCGATGCCTGGAAAAAATACCGATTGCTGTGTAGGGAAAGACGGCGGTCGGATCGGGGCCCCGGCAGACTGGATGTGCCTCGCAGTGCCGCAGCTCCTCACCCCTGGTCCCCCCCCCCAACTGTCAGCTGCTTCCTGGGCACTCAGGCCGGAAAGACCCGCCCCGTCCTTCGCCCTGAGCCCGCTCGGGGGCTCCCGGCAGGAACGGCGATCTCTGCCCAGCGCCGCCCCGACCCTCGCGGGGCGAGTGCCCCCCCACGCGCAGCTCACCAGGGACTTGTCCAGGATGCAGAACATGTGCGTGTCCTGCAGGAGGACGTGCGAGGCCTGGCCGGGGGGGAAGGCGATGTGGGTGATGGGGGTGTCCCGCTCCAGCCAGTCCTTGTGCAGCCCCAGCCGCTGCACCTTCCGGCTCCAGGCCGTGTACTCCTTGTCCGCAATGCTGAACTCGAAGACCTGGGGGGAGGCAGCCGGGGGGGGGTGCTGAAGCGGGGCTGCCCAGACAGGGCTCAGCCCCACGGGGCAGGTCGCTTCCTCAGAACTGACTGTCCTGAGACAGACAGACCAGAAGGACGACCAAAAAGGAGGGCGGATGACCCCCCCCATGACACCCCCCTCCCGCTGCTGCAGCACTGGATGCTGCCCCGGTGCCATCCTGGGCCTTCCATTATCCCCGCTATGCTGGGCACCCGGCTCCCAGCATCCCCAGCAGCAGGGCTGCTGAACAAGGACGCCTGTGCGTCCGGACAGGCCTCGGGGCGGCCGGCCACTCGCTCCCCCTTGCGCTGGGCGGAAGGCCTCCCTGCTGAGACTGTCCCTCCGGTGGGGAGACGGGAGCCAAAGGGCCAGCCGGGCAGCAAACACCGCCCCTCCCCTCCCCTCCCCCCCCCCCGGGGGCAAAGCACGGCAGCCGGGGGCTCCTACCTGCTGGTCCGAGTGGGCGATGACGAGGTTCCTGGTCAGCGGGTGGATGGCCAGGGCGGTCACGGGGCAGGGATAGGCCGGGACCGTGCAGTGCAGCTGGAGGAGGAGGGGGGGGAGGGAGGGAGGCGTGGGTGGGGGGCAGCCAGCCCCTCCCTGGCCCAGGCAGCCCTCCCCTGCCCGCTGCAGGTGCCCCGGGGGTGCCAGAGAAGCTCCGGGCTGGACCGGACGGGCCCCTCTGGCGCAGCTGGCGGACTCGCAGCCGCCCGCAAGGGATGGAAAGCGCCCCTTTGGGCCCGGCCGAGGAGGACCCCCGCGCGCCCCCAGCCCACCGGGCTCACCTGGGCCCCTTCCAGGCTGTAGACGTGGACGGCATGGTCCCCGCCAGCCGCGGCCAGCCACTTCCCGTCAGCGCTCACGGCCAGCAGGCGGGCCGCTTCCGTCGTCTCTGCGGGAGGAGAGGCACGGGAGGCCGTCGGAGGGAGCGGCACGGCGCAGGCACGTGCCCGGCTCTGGCAAGCCGCCCTGCGGTGAAGGCCAGGCACGGCTCCCTCCCCTCCCAGCCGCAGCCTGGTGCTCCCGGCCGAGGGGCCCCTGGATGGCCGGCGCTGGGCGAGGCGGGCAGGGTGCCGGCATTACCTGCGTTTGGGCGGAGGGTGTGCAGGTACTTGCAGGCCCCAGGTGGCAAGAGCTTCAGGACGTGGACACAGCCCTGGTCTGACGCCACGAAGAGCCTGGCAGCGTTTGTGGAGAAAAGGAGGCCGTGGGCTGCGCCGGCCAGCGCCGGGACCTTTGGCACCTGGGAGGAGAGAAGCGAGCTCAGGCCGGCCCCGTTCTCAGAGGCCGCCCTTGCCGCATCCTCCGCTCCCTCCTCCCAGGGAGCCCGGAGAAGCACTGCGGCTCCCCCGGCCAAGCGCCAGCCGGGCTGCCCACCCCCCTCACCCCTCACCTTCTTGATGGCCACGTGGTCACCCTCAAGCTGGACCCGGTGTAGGTAGAGCCTGGAGGCCGTGGAGTAGGCGACCCAGCTGCCACAGGGAGACACGCAGCTGCTGCTGATGTGCTCGGGGCCCTGGAGGCAGAGCCGGGGGAGGCAGGGCGTCAGCGCGGGCCGGCGGAGAAGACAGGGCCCACGCAGCGCTTCCTGCCCCCAAGGACCTGTGAGCTTGTCTCCGGAGGCTCCCCGGAGCCCCGCTGCTGCACACCTGTGGGACCTAAAGCAGCCACTAAGCCCCTCCGGTTGAGCAGGGGGCTGCCTGGCCGTCTGGGGCGAGAGCAAGCCGCCTGTCCTTGCGGGGGCATGTCCGTGAGGCACAGGGCCGCCCCAGTATCCTCCGTCCCTCTTGGCCAGGCTCCTCGGCGCTTCCGGGCAGCGCTTCCTCTCTGGGAGACTTTCCCAGCCCCGCCTGGAGATGCCGGAGAGCAAAGCAGAGGTCCGTGCATGCCTGGCAGGGCTCTACGCGGAGCCACGGCCCCCTCGCTACTCACACCCAGGGCCAGCCCTCCACGGCACCCCTTCGCCCTGTGACCCTGCCCAAGAACGAGCAGTCTGCGCTCCCTCACCTTGGCCTTGAGCTGGAGCAGGTGCTTCGGGGGGCAGGACACCGGGAGGACCTCACCAGCCGCCCCTGAAACGAGAAGGGGGGAGTCTGCATGCACGTGGGCAGGCACAGCAGAGCACGCCCCCGGGGGCCGCAACCTCGCCCGGCCGGCGCCCGAGCCTGACCTCCCCTGGCGGCGCTCGCCCTCACCTTTGGCGCTCGTGGCCCCGAGCCTCCAGAGCTCCAGGTGCCGCGGGTACTGGAACAGCAGCAGGCGGGCCTTCCTGGCGCAGGAGACGAGCCGCCTCTGCGAGGGGGAAGGAGCCGCGTCAGAGCCGCCCTGCGGCAGCCGGAGACGCCCTCACCCCCCGCGGGAAGGGGGGCACGCGCAGAGGGCGGAACCGGTGGGGAAACTGCCCCCCTGCCCCACAGCCGCTCACGTGAGGGAAGGCGACTCTGCGCAGCGCAGCCTCGTAGTTCTTGGACTCCACCTTCTCCATCAGCGGCCGGATCACGAGCTGCCCGTCCAGCCCTGGCGGAGGAAGAGCCGAGGGCGTCAAGCCGGGCCCCTTCCCAACAGGCCGCGGCGCCCCCTACTGGCAGCAAGCACACAAGGATGCTACCGGAGCCAGCTTTCGCCTGGCTAGCTCGGGCCATCGATTCTCTGGCGCCCCAGGCAGGGGAGCAGCCCTGCCCGTCACGGCCTGCCCGGTGCTTTTTGGGAAGAAACCGAGGGCCGCCCCGGGGAGCTTCCACATGCCGAGCAGGCACCCTCCCACCCAGGCAGCCCCTCCGCCCCACACCTCCGGAGATGAACGCCGTCGCCGTGTGTGCCACCGCCCGCACGTCGTGGGTGTGGTGCTGAAACGGCCTCGTCCGCATCCACTGGCGCTCGGTGCTGCCCAGCTTCACTGGCAGCCGCTGGAACTGGTGCACCGCCCCCTCGGACGTGCCCACCACGAGGCTGTCTTCCGCCTGCGAGGAGAGCCAGGTGAGCCGAAGGTCCACAGGGACCCTGTGCCGGACAACGCTTCCGCCTCCCCTGGCAACACCCGGATCACCGTGGAGAAAAGCACAGTTCTGGAGCTGCGGCCTCATTGCTACAATTAGATTAGTCTTCATTCCTTTGTCTTGAATGCTCGCCAGCCACGATTATTTTGGGAGAGGGAGTAAAGGTTAGCTTACATATTTCACCGATAAAGAAACGCGGGCCTGGCTTTGTGCTCGGGACCTTCTCGGCCGCCTCCTGTTACTGCACGCGAGAGACTCCCGCTTTCCATCCTGCTCGCCCGGCTCAGCACAAGGACCTCCCTCACCCGCGCCCCAGCCTGGCGCGCCACCGTCACTCACCTCAGACACGGCCACACAAAGCGCACCAGACTTGCTGACCGGGTGCTTCGACAGCAGCGTCCCCATCTCCGCGTCCCAGAACTGCACCTTCCCGGCAGAGTCCGCGCTGACCACGGTGCCGTCCGACAGGAAGGCCAGGCCCCACACCACGCACTTCTGGGTGTGGGCCCCGTGCAGGCGGCGCTCCACTAGAATCCGCTGGACGGCACGCCCTGCAACAGAGGCGCCGGCACACTCAGCCTCCGCTGCCGGCCGTCGTCCCACCAGGAGGACCTCTGCTGCTCTCGGGGGGGGGCAGGAAATCGCTGCTCAAATGCGGATGCCCCCCCTCGCAGGAATGCAACCGGCGGAGCCCGCCAGCCCCGCCACCCAAGTGAGGAAGAGAGGAGGAAAACTCCAGGGATGGGCGGCCTGGCTCCTGGCTGAGGCCCCAGAGCTCGGGCGAACGTGAAACTGGCATGTGAAAGCTCCTGCTGAAGGGATCGGGCCCCACTCGCTACAGAGGAGCCCACGTGGGCCGGGGCGGTGCATCCCCACTCAGCTGCAGTGCCACGGCCAGCCGGCCCCGCGATTAATCAGGCAGCTGCTGAGAATCAGGTCTGGGGCCTGTGGGAAAATCAGCACAGAGCCGCAGCCTCACCCGATTTGACATCGAAGATGTGGATGACGTCAATGGATCCAGCTGCGATCTTGCTCCCAGAAGGGTGCCACGAGAGGGACACGATCCGTTCTGTGGGACAGAAGAGGGTGAGAGGCTACGCTGCAAGGGTGGCCAAGCCCGCCCCCCCACCAGCTGCCCACCAGGGCAGGGAACCCTGCACAGGAGCCCAGAACCACCTCGGCGGCCCCTTCCAAATCAGACCAGTTTAGAAGCAAAAGAGCCAGAGAGGTCGCCCCCACGCCAGGGGTCAGGGTGGCCCAAAAGAGCAGCTCTAACTTGTGCCTGCTGGTAAGGGAGAGAAGCAGCACAGGGCGTGTGTGCCGGGGTTGTCTTCCCCATCCCACCTGGAGAGCCACCTCCACAGGCCAGGACAGGCACAAACTTCCTGCGCATCCTGAAGGCTGCCCAGCAGGCAACCAAGAGCCACACGACCCTCCACTGCCTTCCTGTCTCTACCCCGACAAGGAACAATTACCGCTGCGGGTCAGTTCTGTGCAGGCTTCCCCAACCCACCTTTCTGCCGGTCCAGTTGCCTCCCAAACTGGATTCTGTCAGGTAAGATGTGGAAAAGCTTAATGGAGCCATCCTCACAGCCGACCTGCAAGAGAAAGGAGCAGCAGCCAGTTCAGCCCCCGCCCCACCCCCGGTCTTTTGGGAAGGGGACAGGACGTGGCTGAGGGTCTCCAGCACGAAGCCCCAGTCGTTCTGGAGGGCAGGAGAAAACCCTCTGCGGAAGACAGGCACGCGAGGCCACCGGGGACAAGCCGCAGCTCGGGGGCATCCCGGGGTGGCGCGGACAGGACTTGGTCCACCGGCGGGCCCCGAGGCGCCCTTCCCCGCGGCCGGAGGGACTCACCGCCAGCTGCGCCCCGGGCGGGTCGGCCGCCATGCTCCAGATGGGCCCCCCGGAGGCGTCCAGCGAGCCCTTGACGCGCAGCTTCGCCAGGTCGTACTCGAAGATGTCCCCGCCGAGGCCCGCGCCGAAGAGCCGCTCGCCCGCCGCCCAGCACAGCGCCTCCGCCACCCGCGTCTCGTGGCCGGCGATGACCTGCGGAGAGGCCCGTCAGGGCGAGGGCGGCCGTCCCGCGTCCCGCGCCCCCCCGCCCCCCCCGGCCCGGCCCGGCCCCGCCCGCGCCCCCCGCTCCCCCCGGCCCCG